AGGTATATCTGCAACCCCAGTGCCATGAGGAGACCGAGGCAGGCGGATCAGAACACATCTTTAAAAAAAAAAAAAAAAAAAAAGGAGAAAAAAATTAAAAAATAAAACCAATCCTAAATCCCCAATATTGGTCCCCAAAATATATTTCAGTGAGAAAGAAAAACTTGTGTGAGCCCCAAGGGGTGCTCTACCCTGAGTCCTTTCTCTGAGACATGTTTCACTAGTATTGCTACCCAAACTACACTGGCCTCTAAGGTTGGGCACGGAAGAAGAAACTCCTCCCTTCACAGTCTGGTCCAAGCACAAGCACAAAATCCTTTGCATTCCTTGCATCATAGCCAAGAAAAGGCTGTAGTTTTCAAATCCTGCTCTAAGGGTTGGGAACAATAAAGCACCCCAGAACAGCTGCTTCTGTTTTACACTTTCAGCATCTGCAAAATTGGAAGGTTCTGCTCTTCCATAAGAAGTTGGAGGACCACTGTTGTCGTCCATCACGGATTGCACTGTGATGGAAACAGAGACAAATAATGAAGAAGAGATGAATAAAATGTGTTTTCTCTGTATGTGCCTGAGATAATTTTCTCAGTCCTTCAAATTTCTACACAGAGAAATTCCTTTCTTAGATGTCTTCTTATTCCCTTTAACTCTGAAATCCATACAAATAACTATCAATGCTAAAAATTAGGAAAGTGTTATCTGATTACATCTAACAGAATTATATTGATGGAATACAGTATGACATGGCAGTTGACTCTGTGGTCTCTAGTGTCCAATGGACGGAGTCCAGAACCCATTAGCTATGTGACTTAGCAAAAAGCAACTTAAATCCTTACTTTACTCATTGGTAAAATAAGGGTGATAGCAAAACCTGTCTCGTAGGATTTGAGAATTAAATAAGATATTGCATGGCAAACTCAGAATGATGCCTTCCATATTATAAATACTCCATACATATTAAACAGGTCATAATATCCTCATTAAAGTGAAGTACACTTTGAGCAATTGATTTCAGATCATCTCTTCTCCTTTTCCAAACGTAGAATTTGAAAGAAGGTTTGGGGTCAGCAGGTAGCATGGAAATTAGGGCAGCTGGATCCCACGTGGCCATCTAGGCAATTTGAGTCCTGGACCCATTGGCTTGAAAATCATGACAGGTGTGTGTGTGTGTGTGTGTGTGTGTGTGTGTGTGTGTGCATGCCCAAAATCCTGAGAGGAAAATGGAGAAGAGATTTCAGCATGGCCACCTCCACCCCTAAGGATGATTCTGACTTTCTCTTTCTTTCTCTCTGTCTCCCCGGTGAGCACACACACATCTTATAGCAAACAAAGAAAAAAGAAGTTTTACAAATTTTACAATTTCTACCTAGAGGTTAAAGATCCCTGTTCATCAGAAACAAATCTCTTGAATCCACTCCTACCTGCTCCTTCTGAGATTGAGGCAGTCCCTCCCTGACTTCCATGGAGACATTGTCGTTTGGAGCAATTTAAAATGCCAAGGTCCAAACAAGGTCAAAGTGGCATGGGCCACTGCACATTTGTCCTCCTTGGGCCAGGATGTGGGTTCACCCTGGGAGAGTAACCTGTATTCTCCTCTCCTCTTTTTTCCAACAGCTGTGTGGGAAAGAATTCAACCGGATGCATAACCTAATGGGCCACATGCACCTGCACTCAGATAGCAAACCCTTCAAGTGCCTCTACTGCCCAAGCAAATTTACCCTCAAAGGGAACCTGACACGCCACATGAAAGTCAAGCATGGAGTCATGGAGCGGGGCCTTCACCCTCAAGGTAATTTCACTTCTAAGCCCCATACTGCCAAGCCCAATGGTTTACAAATGGGAGCTGAATTTATTTTTGTAGGGCATTATATTGGGGGCTATTCTTGTCAAAAAGGGAAGCCTAATTCTCAAGAGCACAGCAGAGTAGCAGGAGCATATTAATAATGTTAGTAGAAAAATAAATGCTTATATCTGAACACAAAAAGTGAAAGTTAATTACAGAGAGTAAACGGGAACATAACAATGAGGCCCACTGGTACCATTATTGCTTCCTTTGCTCCAGACACTGCATCAGGTACCTTGTCTCCTCTGATCTTCATGACAGCTCCAGGCTAGAGAAACGTGTATTATCTCTGTTTTATACATGCAGGACCTATGGCTTTAAGAGATTAATTTGCCCAAAATTGTTCAACTGAAAATTGGCACCGTCAGGGTTTGAACTCAGACCTTTCTAACACTACAGTCTTTACCATATCCATTTCACTGCATTGTTATTAAAGGGCACACAAATTTTCTTCTCTTTTTAAAAAGGAGGCTGCAAGCTCTGCTGTCAGTAGAAGTGCGTTTGTAGCAGTCTAGGTCTCTCCTACCTGCGCATGACCAGATACACCCCAGGACAAGCTCTTGCCTCCTTCCTCTTCTCACCCTAGGGCCCTTAGCAGTGAACAGTTTATGCTCCAGTTCTACTGAATTCAGCAGGGTTGCTCCTTAGTCATCTAATCAACTGGTCCTTGAATAAACAGGCAGGAACTGCGCCTCTGTCTATACAGTAAGTCACACGCAGTGCAGATAAGAGGAAAATGAAACCATTTTTCCCTTTTAGGAAGTCTATGGGTGAGAGAGAAACACAATTTTATGAGTATTTTGCAAAATCATATGAACTGGTTTTTGTTGGTGTTGTTTAATATGCTGTGGAGCACATAGGTTCACCAGAGAGAGACAGAAAGTGATAAATCACCCCCTCACCCCCTAAGGGGGATGGCCATGCCACAATCCCTTCTCCTTTATTCTCTCAGGATTTTGAGCCCCACCACACATATACACACCTGGCTTGTTTTTCAAGGGACCAGGTCCAGGACTTAAACCATGTAGTTGGCTAGATGAATCTACCCAGACACAAACACAGGGCAGTCTGTGCTTGCTACTTGTCCCACCCCACCCCCCCTTACAAAAGAGGCACTCAAATGAACATACCTATTCATAAGTGAGATACACACAAACACGCAGCCAGAAACAAATGCTGTCAATTTCAGGTTTTCCCCAGCACCTACCGAATTGTGGCAACTCCTGGATGCTAGGGAAATCTATATATATTTATTTAGGGTTTTTGCCATAGGGTGCATTTGCTCACTGGAAGGAGACAGAGAGACAGAAATCACAGCTCGCCAGGGGGAATGTTCACGGTGCAATTCCCACTCCTCCATTCTCCTGGAATTTGGGGGCACACACGCAGCCAACTGGTGTGATTTTCAAGCCGCTAGATTTAGGACCAAACTGGGGTTGGCCACGTGGGAGTCCAGGTTAACCAGCACCGCACCTGAAGGCCCCGAGAAGTCTACTTTGCAGAAGGTATAAGCAGCGCACCTGAACCGGCCCTGGGTCCTTCCCTCCGGCACAGGCCGGTTTCGGCTGCTTTCCCCGCGCGGTGCATGACTCTCCCTCTGCTCTCCAGGTCTGGGAAGGGGGCGGATGGCCCTGGCGCAGTCGGCCGGCGCCCTGAGGAGCCTGGAGCAGGAGGAGCCCTTCGACCTGTCCCAGAAGCGCCGGGCGCCGGTGTTCCAGTCGGACGGGGAGAGCGCCAGAGGCAGCCCGGGCCACGAGGACGAGGAGGCGGAGGCGGAGGCGGAGGAGGACTTCGACCACTGCTATGAAGTGGAGCCCGACAGCCCTGGCCTGGTCCCCGAGTCCCAGCCGCCCTCGCTGCCCGGGGATCTGTCCGCCAAGCCGGAGCAGGAGCCTGAGGGGCTAGGGGACGCCTGCAAGGAGGAGGAAGAGGAGGGAGAGGAAGAAAAGGAAGAAGACAAAGAGCAGGAGGAGGACTTGGCCAAAGACCGACAGGAGGAGAGGAGCAGGGCCAAGTCGGCGGCAGGGGGCGGCCCGCAGAGAGATTTTGCCTGCAGGGACGAATGTCTGGGCCTCACAGCATTTCAGAGCAGCCGGCGGGGCCCCTCTTTTTCTGATTACTTGTACTTCAAGCACAGAGATGAGAGTTTAAAAGAATTACTGGAGAGGAAAATGGAAAAACAAGCAGTGCTTTTAGGTATCTAAGTGGACAGTTTTAAAATTACATTTGGAAAATGAGAACCAGGCAGATCAAATATAGCTTTCTGCGTGAATTGCCTTTTACTGGAGGCAGCAAATGGCGCCAATCTTTACAAATGGCTGAGTAAATGAGCAGGGACCGTCCTTGGTAATGTAAATGCTTCTCGGGTCATTCCTTGGGCCTGCGATACTTTTAACATATGTGCAAGGTCTTCCTCAGTGTTACTTTATGCATCGGGACTATCATAAACCGCGCATATTCTGCTAGAGATCTAATTGTAAGCTGATGCTGAGGTGCTTTTAGAAATTCTATTGTCCTTCGACTAATACGTAAAGATCTTTCTAGTTGCAAAACTATGGTGCTTGATATATTACCTTATTGATAACTATTTAGTTGAATTTATGAAAGTTATATTTTTCCAGATAGATGAAAATATTAATAGTTGTATATATAAAAACTTTTATTAATCATCAAAAATACCAGAAATGACACAGGAGGGTGAACTGTTGAAGAGGGTGTTCTCAAGTAGTTGCTGCAGATGTAAGGTGAAATTTCAGAAGGAGATGAATAAGTTTGACAAGGGAAAAACCAGCATAGATTCCTGCCTGGGTCTCTCATTTTGCTTCAGCTTCCTTCATCAGCTGGGGTACTTGGAGCACATTTGAGGTGACCTGATAATGCTCAAGGGTCCTGGCTTCTCAGACTAGCCCTGCATTCCTGAGCAAAGCCCCCTCCCGGAGACCACTGCTGCTTTGCTCTGAGCCTGGTACTCCATAAAGCAGGAAGAGTTGCTACCACTGAGAAGCAGATCTTTTCTCAGTACTGGAGGGAGAGGGTGGGCTGGAGGAATACTCTCTGAAGTTGGCTCTGGCTTACTTTAGGTATTAGAATGATCAACTAATCACTAGGAAGACTCTAGGCTGTGTTCTCAATGCTGGCTGCACATTGGAATCAGTCGTGGGAGTCTTGAAATACAAGGCCAGGGCCTCAACCACTGAGAGTCTGATTTCACTGGTCTGGAGTGGAGTCCCAGTTTTTAAATTGCCCCAGGTAATTCTTAAGCACTGCCAGGGTTGAAATGATCGGCTGGATTCAAATCACATTTACCCCTTTCTGTGGCTTCCAGGATCCCTCCCAGGGACTCTATAAATACTTCTGTTTCTGACTTCAGACTCATTAAGGTGGTGAGCAAGAGCTCTCCCAATTGGATGGCTCACTTAGGCCTTCTTACTCATTTTGCAAGGGTCTCGTAAAGGGATACATATACACACACACACACACACACATACTCTGTGTAGTTACACACTTTTTGTACTAGAAGTTGATGCCTTTGATGTGTATGGCTACTTCCTGTATTGAGAAATGCATGGCTGACCCATAGTGACTAACCATTTCTTCCCAGATGCTAAACCGTGATTCCAGTGCATGATGATGTTTGTAATGGTGGGTTGGGCCCAGCATATAGGCTTTACTTAAGCCCAGAAACCGAATTAAGCAATGCGGACAGGTTGCTGCCTATGTGTGGCTGATCATAAGCAATACCCTCTGGTACTGTGTGTTTATGTGAAAACCACCTTGGTCAGTTGTTTCGACCCTTGGTTGTAGAGTTAGGTACTGTTTAGTATTTTGCTTCTTCCCCTCTCAAACTTCCTAGTATGTTTCTTTAGAAAATCTAGTCCATCTCCAACTGCTGGATGCTGGCTTTTATTGTTGACAAGGATGCCTCTCTACTGGCCTGTTATTCACTAGGTGCTTTGCCAGTCCCTGATCCTTGTCTAAAGCTCTTTCCTGCAGCGTCACCACCACCGTCAGTGCTAAGGCTGCTCGGGTTTCCTATGGCCACCTGTGTCCTGCAGTCAGGTAACCTGCAAAGGGCATGAGGATGAGAACAATGTGAGTTTCTGCAATTATACGTACAACTTTGGGTCAAGAAGCTGACCCAAGTCCTCAGAAGGCAAGTTCCCTTCCATTCATTGTTAATATAGTTCACCAGTGCCCAGAAGGCAGGCGGAATGTTCTGTGTGGCCCCCAGCTCTTACAGTCCTGTTACATATGTGTCCATCCAGAGCTCATGTGTTAAGGACATGCTACAACATGCTGTGCCTGACCCCTTGTGCTGCAGACTTCCAGATGGTTCTGGGTATGCCTGGCTGGTATAGAAACTAGGAAAATCTGGTCATTTCCAACTAAACAAATCACACGGGAGAGTTTGAGGAACCAGTTAATGTTGAGATGGAAAGAGTATGGTCTGGAATGGTGGTTTTCAAATTGCATTTTGAGGAGCCAGAGGTCCTTGTTGGGACCCTGCAGAGCTGCAAGGGGAGGAGCAACTCTCAACCTCTATGCCCACTTCACTCAGAGCAGCTCGAGTTTCATCTTTTTGTATGTTAGCATTCCAAGTAAAATCCAATCTGAATGGAGAAAAAAAGGCCTAGGAAAAAGTAACAAAGATTTGTGAAGGAGTGTATTCTAAGACTTGTTTCTAGTTGCTGACTCTGGATATGAGAGACTTAATTAGATATGACCTGATGGCTCATCTATCACTGACCTGAGAACTAAGGTTAAAACCTCGATTTTGTAGGATGCTGTGTGTCCAAGATCCTGCTTTGCCTGCAGTAGTCCTAGTTTATATCTCTTGTCTCAGGACAATTACTAATGGTGTGACTTCGATTCCCCAAAGTATCCTAGTGTGGGTGATAAATACATGGGCACCACGTACATCAGCATGGAGCTCAGGAAGGGCTGACCAGCCTCGCCTCATGGACTGATTAAGCAGGATGTAAGCCTAAAGGAGAGCCCAGCGGGGCCATCCTCAGAGAACTCCAGGATGAGGCCATCTGAGGTTACCAGTACTCCAAGGCTAGGGCAGTGTGACATTCAACACATTAGATCACTACCAAAAGCTTTCTGAGTTTTTGACCACTGTCACTTTGAACCAATCAATGGACTAGCCAAGTGGCATGTTTTTCTTTTATTCTTTTTATTCAGGCCTGTAAGTACACAGCTCTTATTGCCTTTCAATTTCTCTTTTATTCTTTAAAAAATAAATAAATAAATAAATTGACTCCTCATTGGCCATAAGACTGAGGCTGACCTTTTATAAATCCATAAAAGAAGCTGGCATATTTGTATATGAGTAGCTGCATGAGAAAGTTCATTGTGCATACTGTATTTATTAAGCCCTGAAGACATTTAATAAAATATTAACATTATGTTTTGAATTATGATCTTTGTCTACTCTGCTGTAACAAAATGTAACAGAGCTAACATTTAACATCTCTCACATATTTGGATGTTATATTGAATGTTGATTTTGTACAAAATTCTGGCTTGCTGTTTTAAAACTAAAACTCCAAGTTCATAGCAACCCAAGTTGTGAATATTGCTTTCTGCTACAGTGAAAAAGCAGCTTACCTAAAAATTGCGTGTAACCTATATTTTGTTAACTTAAGCAAATAAAGACATGTTGGAAAAGCTGAGTTAATTATTTGTGAATATCTGAAATTTTGCAAGGATGCTGGCACTGTTAACATCTCACTCTTGCCATTATCCCCTCTCCAGGGTGATTCTCAGTGGTTGGTTCCTCAGTCCCAAGGAGACAGCGGCATCAAATCCTTCCACCCTCGGGGATTCAGAGAGAATTAATGAATCTCAGCCCATCTGTAGGTGGAAGACACCTTCCTCATTCTCTTCCTCTTTCCTATTCAGAAAAATTTGTCCTGAAAGAGTTTCATGGGCAAGTGGGGAGGCGAGAGGCAGGATTGCCTCATTCTGCCTCAAATTCTTCGTAAGGGTTCAACCAGGAGGCAGTAGACCCCAATGAACAAGAGCACAAATTCTTCTCCCGCGCTGCATAGGTGCAGAACCCAGATGTCCCACTTCCAATCTGTGGGACCTGAAACCAATTCATGAACCTCTCTGTGCCTCAGTTTCCTTATCTTTAAAATTGAACTAGAAACTCTGCCTTCCTCACTGGGTTGTTGTGTGGGTTTCATGACTTAGTATATGCAAGATACTTAGAAAGTATCTTGTGCTTACGCTGTTTTAGAATTAGGCTGTACTGTTGTCACCAGCATGGCTAGAAACTGAACACTCAGTATGCCCGCCTCAATGGAAAACACACTGCTGTGTCAGCATGGGAAATTGCCCATTTCTGAGGAGCTTCCCTTTAAAGCAATAATAAAACTGCAAACACATTGAACACTAGTATATGCTCAGCACTATGCCAAAGTGATTCACACACTCAATTTCACTGAAGTCTCACACAACTCTGCAAAGCAAACATCATCTCTTTTCACTAAAAATAGAAGTTCAGGAAAGTAAAATAATTTGCCCCAAATCACCTAGTACATGAGTTTCTCCCTTGTCTCCAAAGCATATGTAGAGTCTTCAAAAAGTTCATTGAAAATGCATATTATGAAAAAACTGCATGGATTTCAATTTTTCTTTTGCATTAAAATACACTTATATTGGGACCAGCAGATGGTGTAATGGTTACAGTCGCTGAAATCCAATGTAGTTGACTGTGGTTCAACTTATGCTGGGTCCAGGTGCATGCATGTCCAAAATCCTAAGAGGATAAAGGAGGAGAATGGATTGTGGTGTGGCCATCCTCCCTGGGGGGTGATATTTTGCTTTCTCTCTCTCTGTCTCTCTGCCCTATAGCAAAAATCTCTCTTAAAAACAAAGACAAAACAAATCAAAACTACACTCATGTTTCATCCCACTGTTTTGATGTTCCCTCATATAGCCTGCAGCAGGTTGGGCTCTCTGGATGCGATGCTGAGACAAATTTGGATGTGAGATGTTTATTAAGAATTAAGATCAATGAAAAGAAGGTGGAGAAAAGAAGATGGAACAAAGAGAGAAACCAAATTGCAATGCAGCCCCGACAAGGCCTTAGCCAGTGTGGTGGCAGCTCTGGGGCAAAAATTGCCTCTCAAAGTTGTATCATGCTAGGTGGAAATGTCTGCGTCTTTACACCCCTGTCTTGTTCAGTCACCAGATGTGGGCTTCCCCAGGAAGGGCGTGACATTTTACAGGTGAGGTAGATTCTAAAGGAGATGGCAGCCAGAGGCTCTCTGCTGACTGCATTATCATAGCTCAAGGGTAAGTCCTTCCTTGAAGAAAGACTGGGTGACTCATTCCTGTATCTACTACAGTCTACCCTGGCCTCACTCCAGTCACATCCTCATGTATATTTATGAGGCATCTCCTGCAGGGATCCAAGGGGCCTTTCTCCCTGACCGACACTTGGGAGAGAAAGATTAGGATAGACTCCAGTTGCCATTGCTTCAATTAGTGTAGGGGCTAAAATAATCCTCATTTTCTCTTCCTCCATTACCCAGTCTAGATCATCTTCACCAGCAGATACCACTTCTGCCAGTCTCAGTTGCTTTACGGGTGGTATCATCAGATTCTCATCCTCAAGAGTCTGAGCACTGGTTGCCATGCTGCTGTGGACTGAAAGTTCATGTCCCTCCAAAATTTGTATGTTGAAGCCATAATCCCCAATGGATGACATTTGGAGGTGGGGTCTTTGGAAGATTAGAAAAGGTCATGAAGTTAGGGCTCTTATGATGACACTAATATTCTTATAATAAGAGGAAGATCCTAGAGCTCTTTCTGTGTGTCTACCATGTGAGGACAGAAGAAGGCAGCCATATGCAAGCCAGAGGGTCCTTACTCGATACTGAATCTACCTGCATCTTGATCTTGGACTTTCCAACCTCCAGACGTGTGAGAAGTAAAAGTTAGTTGTTTAAGCTACTTAGTCTATGGTATTTTGCTATAGCAGCCCAAAGTAACTAAGACATGTGTCCTTCTCAGAATGGAGTTTCTCTATCTGCTCACTTATCATCACAAATGAGTAAGAAAGTATCAAAAGAAACCCAAGTGAGTCACCTGGTTCCCTACTATTCCTCCATGACCCATCCTGTAACAACAGCCCTACTTCCTCTTGATGATTGGATCAATTACCCCTGCCAAGATGGTGACTCTGGTCCCCAGAGTCAAGAAACAAAAGTACTCAGATGGAAACTATGCTTATAATTCAATGATACTGTTGCTATGTGCCCAGATGAAAGCATATCCTTTTTTAGGTTGGGCTCTTCTAATTCAGTGGAGTCCAGAGTTATAAGCAAAAGAAGTGCGAAGCTGCCAGTGTGTCAGTAGGAGTAACAACATGAGGATTCACTCCTGCTTCCACTCTTGGTCCTCGACCTATGCGGGCTTCCTATTGAAACACCATAAAAAAAAAAAAAAATCTATGGTCTGGTGCATACACTGGAGGATGACATTCCATCCTCAGTGTATTTCTTCCAAGAAGTACCCTAGGGAGCTGACTGCTTCTGGTGGTATTTAGGTGACAGGACCAATTCTTCCGGTAGTCATGAGCCTATCTCTGCATCTCATTCACTGTAAGGTGAAGTTCATGATTTGATGTGACTTTCCATGCGCTTCTATGCCAGTAGAACAAACACACCATAACCCCACTTCTTGCACAGCAGTACTGGCTAAAGTCCTACGCACAGGAAAGGCAAGCTAATACCCAGAGTATGTCTCTGTTCCTGTGACAGTGAACTACTCTCCTTTCAGGACAACTGTCCCTCAGTATTCATGGTGGATTGGTTCTAATACCCTGGCAGTTACCAAAATCCATCAAGTCCTTTAAATAAAATGGCATGATATTCACTTATAACTGGCACACATCCACCCATGTACTCTAAATTATCTGTAGATTACTTACAGTACAATGTAAAATGCTTGCAATTAGTTGTTAAACTGTATTGTTTAGGGAACAAGGACACACAGAAAAGGTCTATATATGTTCAGTATGGGCATGACCAATTCTGTACTTTTTTCAATATCCTCAGTCTCAGTCGATTGAACCCATTGATACAAAATCTCTATGGAGGGCCAACTATATAGTCAACTTCTCACCAATATTTTTTATGAGTTTGCTATAGGATGCAAGAGCTCACCACAGTGAGACAGAGAGGGAGAAGGAGAATAAGTGGGAAAGCACCAAACCATGCTACAAATCCTTCTCAGGATTTGGGGCATGCACACACATACACCTGGAGTGTTTTCAATTCACTGGGTCCAGGACTCGAACTACGCAATCAGCATGCAGGATCCACCTGGCTGGCCCCTCACCATTTTAATAACAAGATAAGATGCATATTTTTCTCAATACAAAATAAAATGCCACTTGACATAAAGTCCATCTCCTCACATAGGGACTGAAGGGATCTATTAGACTTTTATAGCTGTCATAAAGAGCATATTTGCTAAGTAATGTACGTAGAAGTAAGCTCACTGGATCTCTCAGTTTTGTTCTAGACTACAATTGAAGAAGTGTATAGTCAAGATTGAGGAAGGCAATGAAGCTTCTCCGACACAAATGCTGGGAAGAAGTGGCAGAATGAAAACAAACGAACACAGCATTAGAAAATCAGAAAACCAGTAGGAGACTGGAACTCCAAGACTGTAAGGTAAGGCTGCAAACAGTCCTTTTCACCCCCATATCCCCTGAGGATATCTACGGTCCTGCTAGAAAAATAATAGGTTCATGATAATGAACTTGCATGGTCAAAAGAAGACTTATTAATCTCTATCATATTTCTTAACTAAATGCACGCCAATACATTTCCATTTTTAAAGTCAGTTCTCAAAGGATAACTATTGTCTGGAAAACTTTACCAGTGCACACCTTATTTAGCAGC